AGTCTAATAAGATCTGATCCATTGTTCCACAACCAGGACAGAAGCCACACTGCTCCTCTTGAATCTGAGGTTCAACGATCGATTGGAGCCCCACTTCCAACACCCTGGAGTAAACTTTCTCGAGGAGGGCGACAAATGTGATGCCATGTTAAATAGTTCTCTGGTTCATTTTAAATTGGGAACCACCACCTTGTTCTACCAATCCAACAGCGTTGTTCCAGTCCTTCATGCGATGTTGACGAGACGTGTCAACCATGACATCCCCACAGCGATCAGAGCCTTCAGCATTTATCTGGTTGGATTTACCAGGTCTGTCTGGCAGCCTCCTCTGCAACTGAATCCAACTCACTACCAAGTAGTGATTAGTTGACAGCTTTTCCCCTCTCTTCACTGGAGTGCCCAAGACTGCACTTCAGATGACACAATTACTCCACAGGTGGTGGATCCACATAGAGGTTGCCTCCTCCTGTTGTCCTTTTTCGGGCCTGGCCCGGACAAGCCACAAAAGCCAAGGCTCGACCGCCAGGTGCTCATCTTTTGATCTTACTCCCACAGATGTCTTCAGTGTAGAACAAAAACAAGGGAATTTGACTTGCTGTTCCAATACTTTTGGAGGGGACTGTATCTTCTCTTTGAATTCAGTTGAAAATAGGTTGAAAAAGATTAGCAAATCATCGTATTCTGTTTTTTTAACACAACATCCCAACTTCATTGGAATTGGAATTGTACCTTCAACCAAGTCATTAGGTAGAAATCATGTAATCTAATTTCAGTCGGTTCTCGTATGTTCTCCAGTGGGCAGTGCTGACCTGTGGACACTGCTTCTGTAACGAGTGTATTGCTATCATCGTGGAGCAGTACAGCATGGGCGCAAGGCGGCGAGCAATTAAATGTGCCATTTGTAGGCAGACCACGACCCACACAGAAATCTCCTACGTCTTCACCACTCAGTTGTCCAGCCAGGATCAGGACATTCCAGTCAAGGTCAGCAATACCTGTTAACATGAGCAGTCTGGGATCTTTTCTTTAGGATGAATATTTTAGGACTATAAAGAAGATTTGACACACACTAGAATGACTTCTTGTTTGTTTCAGGGCAGCCACTCGACCAAGGTGGAGGCAGTGGTGAGAACTCTAAAGAGGATTCAGGTGACAGACCATGGAGCCAAGTGTCTCGTCTTTTCTACGGTAAGTACAAAACTTTCTGCTCTGCAGTTCCTGCACAGTTTGGATTTTTTTATTTGTTTGTTTACTGATGCATTTCTAAAGTAAAATCAATGAAGACAAGACTGAAAGAGCTGCAGTGTTGCAGAGATTTTTCTCATGGTTCAGCCATGTTTGTGACAGCTCTGACCTGAACCGTTATAGGCCAATCTCGATTTTATCATGTGCATCTAAGGTCATGGAGAAACTTGTTAATAGGCAGCTAACATGCTATCTTGAGGCAAACAACGTATTATCTTCTATCTTACTATCTTCTTAGGTGTTGTGTCATGTGTATGTAGTGAGCCTAAGAACCACAGCATTCAAACCAATAAGTCAGGTGATGGGGCACATGACCCTCTATGAACAATAGAGCTAATCAAGCCTATTGTTAAGCGATGGCCCTCTTTTGTACGTGACTGACCTCTTTGTCCACCATGTGGAGGCAGTGCTTTTAAGGCTGAGTTCACCTGAAACTCATCAGACTGAAGAAGTCTCTTGGACGAGYGACGAAACGTTTCACTAAAGAAGAACCATCCAGAGGACCTACTTATTTTTGCTTTTTGACTTTTTTCTACCTGGATTACTGAGATGCATCAAGACAGTATTCCAGTATCTAAAACAAAGCTTCTTGGATATTCAAAATGCTTTTGCAAATTTGGATTTATCCTTGAATGCTAAGAAAACAAAAGTTCTATGGTTTAACTGTGAGAAAAACATAATTCCTCCCAACTTGGTCTTCACTACAACAGACGGAACAATCCTTGAGCAGGTCACAGAATACAAATACTTGGGAATCTGGTTAGACAGTTCTTTGTCCTTCTGTCATCATATTACTATGCTGTAAACTAATGTCAAATCAAAACTTGGCTTCCTGTACAGAAACCGTTCATCTTTCACATCCTCAGGTAAAAAAAATCATTGTTGAATTGTGTATCCTTCTTTTGTTTGATTATGGTGACATAATTTATCGCCATGTTTGCAAGGGAAGTCTTCAAAAAATTGGATTCAATTTACCATTCTGCCATTCAATTTGTTACAAATGCTCCATATAAAACTCACCACTGTCTGTTATGCTCTCAAATGAATTGGCTTTCCTTGCAGTCTCACCATAATACCCATTGTCTCTTGTTCATTTACAAAACCCTGCTAGGTCTTTCACCTCTCTATTTAAATCAATTACTACAACGAGAAACCCCTCAAGGTGCAATACTCGCTCCTCCCACCTTCTTAGATTGAAAATCCCAAAAACCAAGTCTTCCTTTGGCCTCGTCTTTCCGCTTTGCTGCAGCAAATGATTGGAACTTCTACCAAAATACACTGCATCTTGGCACTTTGATTTCTATTCCTGCTTTTAAACACAGACAAAGGGATCTTTTTAAGGAGTCATTTAACTGTTTAAAAGAATGAATGCACCGTTCATTTTATATGTTTTATGTACTGTTTATGTTGTTTCCCCTGCCCCATCTTCCCATTTTTTAGTGTTTTAAGTGTTTTTTCACTCTCAGGCCAAAAATCTAAATGAGACACTGTTCTTAATGTTTTGCCTGTTGAAATAAAGGTTAAATAATGAATAAACATGAATCACTTGTAAAGTCACTTGGAAACCTGAAACCTGACTTCCTGTTCACACCCCTGGAGGTGGTACCTTTAACGTCAGACATTAAAATGTAAAACAAACTTTGTTTTCCATCCAGTTGTAGAGTGAATTTTTATCAAACTTTTTAAAAATTGCAAAACATTAAATAAATAAAAATTCGAATCTAGACTGTTTCCATCTAGTTTCCCTCTCGACTGTTTGATGTGAATAAATGAGGCTACGCAACTGCGTGATTACGTCAGACGAGGCTACGCAACTGCGTGATTACGTCAGACGAGGCTACGCAACGCGTGATTACGTCAAACGAGGCTACGCAACGCGTGATTACGTCAGACGAGGCTACGCAACGCGTGATTACGTCAAACGTTGGCGACAAGCTTTGCGGTAGTAAACAGGAAGTGAAACTTGCTAACTAGCAGAGGCTAATCATCTCGGGACAATGGAGTGATTTTTTTCGTGAATGCCTTGCTATTGGTCAAGTTGTAATTCTATCTATTCAGCTAGTACAGGCTATGTTTAACGCTGCCAGGAGACGTAGGGAAATAAAGCCATGTTTTCGCGCGTTTATGATAACATCCGGGACGAGGCAGGAAAGCGGAAACAGCTGAGCGTCACGTGACGTAAATATGCGCTACGTCAGAATTTATTCGGCAAACGTGTTTCCATCTCCCGTTTTGTGCATTAACTACTTTGCGAATCATCCAAAAACCACCTCAAGCCAGCATAAAAACTTTTTAGCAAATTGAGGATTTTTTTCTCTCGAATTTTGCGGTTTCCATCCGACTTTTTTTTGCATTTTTAATGCGACACTTCTAAATGCGCATCAAAAAGCCTTGATGGAAATACAATAGAGACTGACTCTCTCTTGCTCTGTTTAAAGTTTGTGGCTGCAGTGAGCAGAAAGTTAAAATACAAGACTGGATCTAAAATTCAGTTAATCAGTCACAAAATTTCCATCAAAGTTATTGCCCAGCCCAAGTTACTTTGGCACCAGTTAGTTTTTATCTGACTTCAGTTTCTTCTCTGAACAGTGGCAGAGTGTTCTGGACATCATCGCTAAGGCCTTGTTTGACAATAACATGGAGTTTTCACAAATCAATGGAATTCACAAATTTCAGGTTGGAATTTTCATGTAAGCTCTAATAACAGGAGGAATGTATCTGTGTGGATTCAGCTGTGATAGCATTGTGTGTCAAACTGACTGATGTTTTTTTCCTTAGGAAAATCTTAGTTCTTTCAAGTATGACGAGAAGATCAACATCCTTCTTCTTCCTCTCCACACTGGCTCCAATGGGCTTAATATCATTGAAGCTACACACGTGTTGTTAGTTGAACCAATCCTCAACCCAGCTCATGAGCTTCAGGCGATAGGCCGGGTCCATCGGATTGGCCAAACCAAGTAAGGGTCTGAAAGACACACGACCGACTGAAAGTCTCAACTTCTGTTTAAACATGTAGAAACTCACTGATTTATTACTGGAAGTAAAAAGGACTGGGTCTGACTTTAGAGAAACTGAATCTCTCACAAGTAAATATGGACTGAGTAAAACGTTTGACTTGACTTTTCACCAGTCTGTGGAAATCTGGCCCTATAAACTGTGGAACCAATTCAAAATAAGATTATTAGGCAGAAATTCTGGAGGACATTGATTATTCCATCTCCTGACCCTTTCTGCTTTCAGTACTAAAAAGGAGAGGGACCATCTGGCATGTTGGCAGCGCACAGTTCAAAATCCTTCCTCTCTGATGGTATAGGGGTGCATTAGATGTCTAAGTGTAAAATCAGGCACCACATGCTCAAATGGGTTTCTAGCTATTCTGGATTTTTATTGATTGATTTTTATACAAAGTTATTTATAAATATAGGCTTTGTTATTGTTTTATACCAAACTTAAATACAATAGATTTAATGTGCAACAATCATTACATTATACAACATATACAGAGCTTTAGCATTCAAAAACCCTTTTATTTTGTACAACAGTACAGTTGAAAGGAAAAAAAAATTGAATAGGTCCTCTGGACGGGTTCTACTTTATTGAAACAAGGTGACTGATTATCAGTCACCGGTGAACGATAGCCATGTGATGTGAGTATCAGTCACCTGGAGGCAGGACTCAAAAGCCTGAATTTTGCCTGAAACTCTCAGACTGAAGAAGTCTCTTGGAYGAGAGARGAAACGTTTCAWTAAAGAAGAACCCGTCCAGAGGACCTATACAATTTTTTTTCCTTTGATTTTTTACCTGGATTACTGAGATGCATCAGAACAGTACAGTTGATTTTGCTATTTTTATTCTGAGATTTCCATGTCAGCTTCTCATCATTGAAGGCCCCTCAAAAAATTTATTTCACTAACTCAGTAAGTTTCAATACAATCAATTTTAAATGGGATTTTGATCATTATGCCTTCATCCACTGGGGTTGGAGACATACAGGCAGGCAGAGACATACCAATAGATGCTTTGGTATCGAGTTCTGCCTTGCTTTAAAGCGCAGATCTCTCACAACGTTCCATAACCTGAGTTTCTTCTGTCCACCAGACCAACATTTGTGCACAGATTCCTCATCAAATCCACAATTGAAGAGAGAATGCAGGCTATGCTGAAGACGGCAGAGAAGAGGTTTGTATTTTTCTTGTGTGAAAATGGAGAAAATGACCCTTTGAATACTAACTGTCCTTTGTATTTGTAGCCAGAGCAGCAGGACAATGAAGCACTCGGAGGCTGCTGTCCTGACAGTGGCTGACCTGGCTGATCTGTTTACTGACGACACAGAACCTCTGGAGTGATTCTGAAGGACAGAGATAGCTCATCCTGCACACTGGTGATAAAAGAACTCTTTTTGTTTTGCACATCCTGTTTTTTAGGCAAATCGCTTTTCCAAATGAATACTATTTTTAACTTTTCATAGGCAACATTTAACCAAGTGTTTCCTAAATGTATTATAGTTGAAAGCTTTAGGTGCAGATGTTGTTGGGCCACTTGTTGTTTCAGTCATTACTTCAGCAGTTTGTCCCATGTGACTGTACTGTGTTGGTAATCTTACAGGACACTATATTTAAATACAACTTCACTGTGTGACTAAATGTGAAAATGGAGTTTAAATACTGTCAACTCTTTGAGAAGGTCTCACAACATTCAGGAAATAAATATATATACCAGCTCTTTCTGTGCCTTTATGGTTTATTACCAAGTTTACACAGTGATTTAGCTTTTTGTCTCCTTGCTATTTCCTTCCATGAGTTTTGTGCCATCTGGTTGTCTTTGTGATCTCTCATGGAGGGATCATACAGATGCCGGTACATTTGGAGCTGTTCAGCAAGACCACCTTCGCGACGAGTGGTGCGCAGCCTTTGCGGAGCTTCAAAATTTCTGAGGTGCACGACCACGTGTCAGGACACAACGCGCGGGGGCGGGGATGCCGCGATTGCGTAACTTTTGACGCAAACCCCCTCGCGCCCTGTGCGTCGCGTCAACTATAACCTAAGCTTAAAAGGGGCAATATCATGTAAAATCAACTTTTTTGAGTTTTATGTCATGTTATAATGTTATACTCTCATAAAAAAACATGCCCAAAGCCTTGCTCTGACTCATTCATGCATGTTTGAGAAATCCTGCAGTGTTTTTATGAAGCCATGCTGAGGAGCAAAACGACAGGTGGGGACCAGAAACGCCCCTGGGAACCAGAAACGCCCCTGGGAT